TGGGTACTATTGCCTATGACAAAAAATTTCTTATGCAGACCCACGTCTTTGTATTGCCCCCATATAATGGTACATCCCAATATTCGGAATTTTGAAAATTTTAGCTACATTATTCAAGGATTTTTTTCAATTTTCGTATTTTAATATTGTAATAACTTATGACAAAAGTTGTCTATGCAGGTCCACGTCATCGTATAGACCCAATATAACAGCTATATTCGGTACTGGTGGAACAATGAACTGTCAAACCAATTTTGGAATTGAAAATGTTGAATGAAAAATTATTTAAATTTGTGAAAGTTATTGAAAAACACGAAATTTAATAACCTCCGAATGACGTCGTATAAGAAAAGATATAAAAATCAACTTATATTTGAAAAAACATTTAAATTTTTTTACACATCAATGCTCTCAAGAGTTGATGCATCTACCTGTATTCTTCTGCCATGGCAGAAATTGACAGGGTTTCAAATGCTAAAACTCTTGTAGTTAACAACAATGTTGTATTTATGGTAGAAGAATACAGGTAGTCAGTCAAAGCAATTTTAAAATTGAAGATTTTAAATGAAAAATTATTTAAATTCCTTAAAATTGTTGAAAAAAGCATATCAATGCAACCTCCGATTGGCGTTGTATACGAAAACATATTAAAATCTACTTATTTTTGAAAAAAAAAAAAAAAACAATCATTTTAAAATTTTTGACATATTAATGTTCCCTCATGTTCATGCAATTACCATGGTTGTGTTTTACGTTACTTGCAGTTAAAAATGGCAACAGCGTTGTATTTTCACGCCGAAGTCACGATTTAAGCTTTAATTTGTTTTTACCTTTATCCTGTGGACTACATAACATGGGGCGCAATAAAATCCAATTAATGCATAAAATAAAAACACGCATTCTTTCAATACAGATAAACTCGAAATATAAACAAGGAAGGTTTTATGTGAGGAAATTAAAGATAGAAGTTATAGAACGCTTCGGAACGAATCAGCATGAAAACTAAAATTACATCTATAATATGCTTATCTTTTAAGAAGAATGAATTGTAACATTTTGCAATTAATTCTTCAAATTATGGACAATAGGGTCCAATACCATGCAGTACAATTACGTGTCAAGTTGTTGAATAATACCATAATTAAGTACATAATCATAATGAGTGTCGTGAATAAATGTACCTATATTATTTTACTCAATGTTTTTAATCAATTTTGACAAATGTGTGATGTGATTTTGCTGGAGTTTATATAACTATACCCGTATTTGAATTATGGTCTAAAATTGATTTTTACTATCGTTTGATATATTCTGATTCGAAAAAAGGATTTTTTTGGCTTCCTCATTTCATTGAGCTTTTTAACGTGATGATACTCAAAATCGCCGTTCATTTGCTTCAAGACCATACAAGAAAAATGTTGTTGCTATTTTCAACACAATTTCAATTTATTCGAAATTAAGATCGCAATCTTAGCACTGATGAATGAACACTTTTGCTCATATTACCAAAAGTTTATATACATTTTTACAATTCTTTCGTTATTTATATTAAGATTTTAAATTGATATTTTAAAACCAAAAACTAGTTTTTGATCGAATTAATTTAGGTCTATTCTTTTCCTGAGTATTACAATAATTATTAATTTAAACTAAACGTACTATTATTTCACATCATCTCAAGACACGTGGCACATTAAAGTCTTGCAAATTGAGTTGATTTGAAATCTGATATGTAAACAGATCACAGTAGTAAATCTAATTGGAAAAATAAAAATGACGTACCTGATATTTACGCTGTTTGTGCTAACATTTCACTGAGTCTATTCAAAAAGAAGAAGAATAACATTCCATATGATATTGACATCTGTTGGAGTCATTCACAATAACTATTCGTACCCAACAAATAACAATCACAACCGGCCAGAGGGCGAAGCCGATGTAAAATTCTCGGCGGCGGCGGCTAAGCATAAAAAAGTCGGCGGCGGCTAAAAGTCGACTGCAGCCGAAAGAAAATCGGCGGCGGCGGCTAAAGCAATATACGGCCGGCGGCGGCTAAAAGTCGGCTACAGACGACGACTTTAACGTGAACAAATAATTTCGGTTGTTTTAATAACTGTCAATTCATTTAATTTAAAATAAAAATGAAAATATAAGTTTATATGCACATTTGTTGCTTATAGCACATTAAAAATTAATAAAAATACTTTAATTTGATAAAAATGGTTCGACGACTGCCTTGTTATCGTGAACAAACAATTGTTTCTTTACTGTTGCCGGATGCAGGCTGCTTCTCTTTGCATTTACACAATTCCCGGCATATGAAAATGCTTGCTCTGAAGATGCTGATGTGGCTGGAATTCCAAAGCACATATTTGCTACAGCAGCAACATTTGGAAAGATCTATAAAAAGTAAATGGTCAAAACGTAACCTGCTTAAAATAAGTTTAAGATGTGAATCTTTAACGTACTTGTTTGTTCTGTCGCCACCAATCTAGAGGCTCAACCGCCTCGACTTTCATTTCCAAATATTTTCTTATTTCTAACTCTACGTTATTTTGTACATTAGAAGGCGATGGTCCCATAAATTCCAACATTCTTTGACGACTAGCTGATATTTTCTGCAAGTAAAATATACATTAGTTAAGTTTACCTTTACATTTATTAAAACATAATACCTGTTTTTTTGCATTTGGTTCAGTGCTCGTTGATGGCTCATTTAATAATGTGTCATCGATTTCCTTTAATTTTTCAATTTCTTCCATAATCAAGTTCTCCTTGGAAATTGGAGACAGAACATCATGCACAAGTTCCAAGGAGTTTGGCGATTGTTTGGGTATCTGTAGTATATATTTATCTAAAACAGGCCAGTTTTTTTGGCATGGGTCCATAAGCGCAGCTACAACATACATTCTATATACTTTGAATCGCTTCGTAAAGTTTTGCACAGCGAAATTGCATAAATTGATTGTTAGTTCAAAAGACGCTTTTTCTTCTTCTTTCTTCAATGAGGACATAATGGATTCCTGAAAATAAATACACGAAGATATCGTCGGATAATCTTGGCCTTGAAGGTGTTTTGTGGCGTCCTCAAAAATTTTTAAAAACGTGCCAAATTCCGTTATAATTTGCATTTCCATTGTCCCAATCACTAACAGTTCCTTTTTAGCTTTAACTAATGCTACATTTATAGTGGATATATTATTCGTATAGCTTTGAATCATTGCAAGCAGAGAGTTCCAACGTGTTGCAACGGAATTTTTCAAAGAGGTGTGGTGCTTGACGTTTAAAGTTGCTTCATATTGTTCAGTAAAATAGTCATCTCCATGTGGAAATTGTTCGCAACTATCCAAACTCTCCAAAATTATTTCAACCTCTGTAAATATTTTTACTAAATCGTTTTGTTCCTCCATATTTTGAATATTTGATATTTCTTCATAGCTATACATTAAGCTGCCATAAATTTTTTTTAATTTTGATATTATGTTATTAATATTTTCAAATGACTTGTTGTTTAGTATATCTTCCATCAAAAATCTGTGTAAAACATGAGCCATACAACCATATCTTGGTATATTTTTAATTTTTAAAGCTGAAACGATGTTGCTTCCACCATCAGTAACAGCACATATGTTTTTTTCCAACAGATTAAATTCACATAAAGCTTCTTCAATTTTTTCTACAACTGCTAGTCCAGTGTGAGGTCGTGGAAAGATCTCTGTCTTGAGCGTTACAATTTGCATTTGAAAATTTTGGCAGAAATGCACTTTTATGTTTATGTAAGACAAATGCTTATGTTTATCTGACCACATATCCAATACAAGTGTAACATTTTCGGGCGACTCTTTAAGGCTTGTTTTTACGTGGTCCAAATATATGTTATAAACATCGTTTAAAGCCGTTGTAGCTATTGTCCTATCTGTGGGGAATATAGCCTTTGGGTTTAAGAAAGATACCAATTTCTTAAATCCTGGCCTTTCAACAATTTTAAACGGTTGCAAATCCCAACAGCACATTTCGGCGACCCGGCGAGCATTTTGTTGTTTGTTGTTACAACTTGTTGAGGATTTCAATGCATTTTGTGTCATTGTTGAACTTTTCAGGTTATTTAAAGATTTCACGTCCAAGTTATGTACAGCTCGTAGATGGTTCATATAATTTGTGGTTGATGTTGATTTTCCAAAACTAAAATCATAAACAATTACACACATGCGAATGGAAAAAATTAGAAATTCTTACCTTTTTAAATTGGTCTTTTCATCCAAACACAATTTGCAAAATTTATATTTTTGAAGTATATGCCTCTTTTTAAAATAGAGATCACCAAAATATTTCCAACACAATGATATACCACCTTCATTTACAACAACCTTTGCCAAATTTTTAAATTCATTTTTCTTTTTAAAAAGATCTTCATATTGAGATACATCTGCATATGGAGAAATATTGATTTCAGTATCAACAGATTCGTCAGAATCTGATTCTGATTTAGTCAAAACTGCTTGACCCTTTCGGTTAGCGGAAAAATAATTTTTAATATTCCTTTGGCACATTTTGCATTCTTTTCTTTGAACAAGCAAAAACACAACGAATCTTTGGCAAACAATATGGTTGCCACTCCATCAAAATTCGTAAGTTACAAAAGGTTGCCAAAGGTTTTGTGATAAAAAAAAACAAATCTACAAAGACATAATACCCTTACCACTATGTGCTGTAGGGTATAATTAATATAAATAGCCTACACGTTTTTGCCTCTCGAAGACGAGTGCACAATGTAAATTATCGTCCAATAATGAGCATTATAATATGTTAATTTATCGATAAGATTAAAAGACATATTTATACAAATTTGCTGTATAAATTTATATTTTTCAACGGCTTAGCCGACTCAGTCGGCTAAAAATTTGAGCCGATGAGAGCCGCATACATCAGCGGCGGCTCAGATCACTTAAAAAAAGTCGGCGGCGGCTGCACGCCGACTGCGAGCCGATCGGCTTCGTGCTCTGCAACCGGCTTTATTTTCTAGGCGTTTTCCACTCTTTTTGCACCAAGAAATTTATGGCATCCTTCTAATTATTATCAACGTCAAAATGCCACTTGCATTTCCCTCGATCTCCACCATATTGGGCATAGCCTTTCTAGGCTATATTGGTCATTCCATGTGGATGATGGCCCAACTCTTTACCACACTCAAATGCACAGACCTCCCCTGTTATAATTCCTTTCTTGCGAATCGACCACGTATGCAGTTGGCACTATGGACGTCCACCGCCCACAACCCAATATCAACCGAAGTCACCAAAGTGGATAGCATTAAGAACTTTGACTACTTGAAATCCTACGAAAAGGACTATGAGATTAAGGTGCCGGCGAAAACCAGACGAAACGGTACTTTGTACATGCAAGTTGTGTTGGCATTGCAAGGGGAACCATTAGAGTGGAAAACACTGAGGAGAGATGGACCAACTGTTATACACAGTTTGAGTATAACCGAATATATGGTGCCAAAGGCAGCCGCTTATAACCTTTTGTCTGATGTAAGTATTGAAATGTTGATATAGGTATATCAAAAGATTTAAACAACAAACTTTTTACAGAAGGAAAAGGACGCTGCCACTGCATCCAGAAAATCGCAGAAAGCTGCTAAACCATATGCCCACATCATGTCAGAAGTCCATGTATCGTTGTTAACTGATTTAATATCTTTGTCAGCCGCTGATGTACCACCAGAAATGGCTCCACTAATACATGTCAACAGACACCAGCAAATTTTACCCATCCTAAAAACAGACTTCTTCAATACTCGCATGAAGGATTTGGTTGAAGTGGACCGCAATATGACCACTTTTAAGATTAAATTCCATTTCCGTCCAATGGGCATTGGCCGATTGCGTCTAATGCTAATGATTGAGCATGCCATGAAAATGATGTATCAAATGGGTTTCACCAAAAACGATGTGGAGGAAATTAAATCTATGCTCTCAGACGCGAATTTGTATTTGCTTTTAGTCACCATATTTGTGGCCAGTATACATGTAAGGGAATTCTGCAATTTTTTGTAGTGTAATCATGAGTAATCTTATGTAACTGTTTCAGATGCTTTTCGATTTCCTGTCCTTTAAAAATGATGTAGCCTTCTGGCGCAAAAAGAAATCGTATGAAGGTCTTTCAACCCGTACAACACTTTGGCGTGCATTCTCCCAAATTGTTATCTTTCTGTACCTGATGGATGAAAAGACATCACTTTTAGTAGTTATACCAGCCGGTATAGGAGTACTAATTGAATTGTGGAAATGTAAGAAAATATTAAAATTGGAAATTAGCCTCAGTGGAATTCGGAAAAAAGAGGAAATCGCTAATAGTGCAGAATCAAGAAAGGCTAAGGCAGTTGGTTCTGCAGAAATGAAAACAGAAGAATTTGACAAACAAGGAATGCGTTATTTAAGTTACCTCTTGTATCCACTGTGCGTTGGAGGTGCTATCTATTCACTGATATATTATCCACATCGCAGTTGGTACTCTTGGACGCTGAATTCGTTGGTAAAAGGTGTATATGCATTTGGTTTCCTGTTCATGTTACCCCAACTGTTTGTAAACTACAAACTTAAATCTGTGGCTGCTTTGCCCTGGCGCGCATTTATGTACAAAGCCTTTAATACGTTTATAGATGATTTCTTCGCCTTTATTATAAGCATGCCCACAGCTCACCGTGTTGCCTGTCTACGCGATGACGTTGTTTTCCTCATATATCTCTATCAAAGATGGCTATATCCAGTTGACAAAAATCGTCTCGATACAGGATTAAGCATTGAAGATATGGCTGACAATGAGACTATAACAGAAAGCATTGCGGATGATGTTTCTAACGATGGTAAAGCCATTGAAAGTAAAAAACAAAAATAGATGTACTCACATGTGTAATTTTTAATAAAAAAAAATTAAACATTCCTTTTTACATGTAGACAAATAAAAAACTAATATTTTTAAAAATAGTTATGATTACAACACACTCATTGCATTTTCAAGTGCAAAATAAAGGAATATTATCCGTCTTTTGAAGGACGTTTACACACCAATTATTATCCGGTTTAAGCCTGATAATTGATTTTTCCATTCCGGGAATCTACTTTTCTCAGATTTTTGACCCGAAAGTCCGGGTTCAAGAGTTTTATATAGACAATATAAGTACCGTTTGAAAGGTTATGCGAATACAAAATGCCAAATTATTCCTACTTTTACAAAATGCTAAAATTTGTGCTAATACCTTTTTGGGTCCAAAGATATCAGTCGCGTAATTATAGCTTGCTTATTAAAGTTGGCTGCCATCATCAATACGGTTGCAATTAAGTGCACCAATAAAGCAAGCATATGAAAAACAAAAAAGTTCCATTAAAAGAAAGACGATGTTATCAAAGAGAAAAACCAAGTTAAACAAATAAATAGCAGTTAAGTTTGACCGGGCCGAACATTTTATATCCTCCACAATTTGGAAAGTAACTCAAAAATATTTATGTAATGCCGTAATTCCAGTATTCGAAGGGACTGTTTTTAGGAACAGCCATTCCAATTTTCAGATAATTTTGTAAACGAGTTGGCTTCAGACACCAAAATACCGAATATCAGGAGGATAAAGGCTATAAAAAAAATTTGAATTATATAGAAATTGTTCACTATTAGCAGAAGTATTCATTAAGGAATTCATAAACTGAATATTAAGTTAGAAAATGTCGACTTATATAGACAGAATATAGAATCCAATATGAACTCTATATATTGAATTTCTGGCTATTAAGTTAATGTTTTATTTTTAGATGTCCCGAACGGTATTTGAAGGGTCATAAAAGAGATGGAAGGTATACCTTCAGCCAGTCAATAAGAAAAGATCGCTTCCTAGAACGGTTTCCCTTGTCGACCTAGCAAAAATTGGCGCTTTCTAGTTTATGGTGCGGCAATTTGACTATAAGTTTGAAAATGGTAACCTATAATATTACAATATTATAAAAGTGATCGGCAAGGGTAGAATCTGCTCGGTTTTGAATGAATTTTGATCCAATACAAAATCGAGGAAAATATGCTGGCTTCCATTCGAGCGACATCGAAACATTGAGTTTGCTCAATTTTTTTTCTACTCTCAAATAGACTACCACACAATTTTTCACATTTTCAGTTGTCGGTCTTGGGCCGTGGCGATTTTCTCCGGCTACGCGAACAAACGCTTTTTTCTAAATTTTATACTTTTTTTCTGCTATGGGTATGTCCAATATTGGATAAGTGAACTAAAGATTTTTTGTATCGAAAACATCATTTTAATGAACTGATTCGAATCGATTCTGGACCCAAGGAAATATAATAGCTCATATTGTAGCATAGTGGAAAGGTAAAAATATCAGCATCAATTTTAATGAACCCCATAATTGTACTTTTTGGGAGTTTTATAAAAAAATGCGGATCGAAAAAATCGATAATTTAGCTAAAACTTCCGAACCGCTCATGTGACCACTTTCTGGATAAGTATTTTCAAAAACTTTTAAATTTACCTATATAGTCTACGTCGGCTAAGGGGGTCCGGGTCTAACCAGGCTGTTTAACCAACCAGCTTTACTTCCTTAGTGTACAAAGAATTTTAGTTGCCCGTGTATGTGTGTACAGAGACTCCATGAATGTAAAAAGTTGATCGTATACTTAATAACATGGTTTAAAATGCTAACGCCAAATTAGCATTAGCACGGAAAATTTTCAGCCATCAGTAAATATCAACACATTACAAAAATATTTAGCCGAGAGACCTAATGCTACTTGAAATCGTCAGCAAAGGCAAAATAGCAGTGATGGGCTGAAGCTAAAATGAAATTAGCCTAAGCATCAAAATAGCTCAACACCAAAAAAGCAACATGACTGCTGCTGCTTAGCTCTGTTTTTAGTCATATCAAATGCGATAAAAATCGCATTTTTATCCATTTGTTATTTTCATATGTAGACAATGTGCAAATGCTATTGAATCCTATAAATTTATTTTAGTTTTATGATATATTTTTCTATATATTTAGAAAAAATATTGGTAAGTTACAATTCAAAAATTAACTTAGATTAGCTGACGATCTCGAAAACATATGTACGTGTTTTATTAATTTGTACGTTGACAACACATTATCGTAAAAATATGTTTTCAGCTGCTCCTTCGACTAATACGAAAATAGCACCGAAATCCGAGCTATTTCTTATTTTGTGTGCTGAATTTTTGGCTTAATTTTCGGTAAGGGCTAAACAAAAATAGCTCGCTTATCAAAAACGAGCTATGAAGCTGTGCGCTGAGCTAAATAGCTGATCATGTACTATTTTAGCCGTGGATGTCCATATTTAATAGTAGTTTCACTGAAAGGCTAAGGCCAATTTCAATAAGTTCTAGCTTTAAACCCTGCTTAAAAATTAACTTGGAATAAATCATCATTTGAGGGCTGCACAACCAAAAATACAGATATTGTTTCCATATTATGAAAACTATAATTTCGATAGGTTAGGGTTAGGTTAAAGGACGCGCGGTTACCATATGGCGACCGCTCCACTCGGAGACCTATAGGACCATTGTGTTCATCCTAGAAGAATGTTAAGAAAAGAGGAAGAAGTTGTTTGTAGAAGAGATAAGAGGTAGAGTTATAGAGTGTGTGTGTGAGGAGTTTGCCGTGTCGTCTTTAGCCACTTGAATCTTCTGGCTAATTGAAGAAGACAGATCATGTGGCACTAGTTCTCCCACTAATCTGTGTCTCACATAATGAGTGCTGGCCAGTGGCAGAGCAAGAGTTAGACTGTCTTGATTTCTTCTTCATCTTGACAGATCCTACAGTAGTCAATGTCGTCGCTGTCCCATTTCGAGGTAATAGCCCTCACCTTAAAATGGCCTGTGATGATACCCACCACAAGTTTTAGATCAGGTTTCGACAATGACAGCAGCGACCTTGTTCTCTTCTCTGAGAGTGTGGGCCAGATTCTTTTGGAGATGGTGCATCCCATTTCGTCCAGTCATTTTTGTTGGATTCTCTCAGAGTAATTTTTATAAATGACCTGCAGGAAATGGTGTGGTGGTTTAACCGAGTTGTCTACTTCAATTGTAGTTGATTAGCATCCTAGCGTGGCCAATTCGTCTGCAGTCTCGTTACCTGGGATGTTATAATGACCAGGAACCCAACAGAGCTTGATGGACAACCCAGTGTTTTCCAAGGCAGTTCAAAAATAACATAAATTTCGATAACAGAAGTTTATAACCTCGTTTGCTATCTGTAATGTCATTTTGGCAATAGAATAAAAGAAAATAACGTTCCTTACATAATATTTATTATTTTGTTTTGGAGCTAAATGTTATATGGTAATTGTTTTGTTTAGAGAAATCTAAATGTGTTGTTGACAAATATAAAATACAAGAGAAGTTAATTTAAATGAGAATACCACAAGCATGATACAATGGAATTACAACCTCAGACGACAAAAGTATCTGAGAATTTAACCTTTTAATAAATATGCCATTCAGCCGTTTCGTATACCTAAGGCTTGTTCCAATTCGGCTCTCTTCTGATTGACTTTTGTAAAGAAATAACGTGAAACCGCCTCATGTGTCCATGGTTGATAGTAGAACTCGGCACGTCTTTCCTCTTCGGGATTTCCGGTAACATCTGTCATAGCCTACAAATACGAAGAATATAATTAGCAACTTATCGCTATAATATAGTAAAAAACATTTTACACACCTTTAGATCACGTGTTTGGCTGACAATCCATCGTTGAATAAAAGTTTGTGGATCCTTTGCAAAGCTTAGGAAAAATTCACGATTTGTCTTCATTTGGTTGATGGTGTCAACCGTTTCATGAATTTTGGCATCTAGACCTTGTATTTCCTGCTGACTGGCAGTGTTCATGAGGAAGTTGTTCATTTGGTTTTTAAGTGTGTCATCAACCTCCACATCAATGTCGTAACAGGCAGTCTGTTTATTCTCGGCCCCACTTTCGATGAAGTGATTGATAACAATTGGCTCGGGGGGATGCAGAAGGGGATTGAGACGTTGCGGAATTTCAGCAAATTTCATTCGTTGGCAACCGAAAATTTGCTCAAGATATTTGTCACAATTTATGTACTCTCTTTCATGGGCGTCTTGCAATTTGTGCGTTTTTATATACTGCCACAGTGCGGAGATTATTACCGGACGAGTTTGAGTATGAACGCCCAAAACACGTGCAAGTCTTGGATCAAGTTTAAACTGCAGCGGTTGATAGTCCAATAAAAGCAATATTGTGCAACGGACATTTCTATCGCCTGGTCTCTTTACCTGGAAACCATCTGTTTCTTGAGTAGTGTGAGTGCGATGCCACTCCACCAAGTGATTGTCTGGTCCATACAACTCTTTGTCCAATTCAATGACCAATGACTTGAAAAATGATGAAAACTTTCGTTTGATTTTGGTGTTTGGGTCACCTTTACCGTCCTCTAGCAGACGCCCTTCCACCCGCAATTCCCACGATGCGACAGATCCTTCGTCACCATCGTTAGTTGGTTCTTTGCTGGGGTAAAATGTGTTTGAGATAAATATGCGCAGTTTGCGCTTCTGTTTCATCGGTCTTTTAAGAGCTTCTTGAATGTCCAGACGTTTCCTCATTATTGTGGCATCCAGCTTACGTTCAAAAGTTAAGAGATCCATATAGGCTTGTGACTCCGGAACTAAGTCTCGCACCTTTTGTGGCAGTATTTTGTCGGCTAACTTCTTCTTCTTTTTTGCAGCAGAATTAAACTCGCTTTTGTTTTGGGCATTATTCATATTACGTGCTTCGCTTGAACGCTTGTTGCCGCCGCCACTTCCACTGCCCCGTAAACCACTTTGAAATCCAGGTTGCGGTGCTCGCTGGTGCAGTGGCGCTCCGACGGGCGAACTTGTGTTGCCAGCTACTGGTTGGCTGTTACTAGGATGCAAAGGAAATCCTCTTTGCTGTATAGAAAATCAAATTGGGAAAATTATTGTAAGCTTTGCATGTCGGCTTGGCAAGGCGATACTTACCGGAGGAAATCCTCCTGTACCCGCAGCATACGGACGCATACCGGCGGCCTGAGGTGGTGGTGGTTGATATCGTGGTTGACCAGGCACTGGTGATTGTCCTGGTTGACCAGGAGCAAACCTTTGAGACATAGTTTAGCAAAAAATCCCCAAAGTTTTTAAGAAAAAGAAAATTTTACACACATCAACCGACGCAAAAGAAAGTTAACAAATGTCGCCATTTTGTGTTAGGGATATGTAAGTCGTGCAACGATAAATCGATTTATCGACTTTTTGTATGTTGTTTACACGAACGTAAAATAATTGGTACCTTCCAAAACTGCAAGAATATAAAAGAGAAAAATTGCAAAAATTTTAGGTTCTGGAACAGACCAAATGATATCTGACATTTACACAAGAAATTGATATGTTCCAGAACTGCAAGAATGGGAATTTTTTTACAACAATAAACGGACGTGAAGAATGATAGCTGATATTTACACAAGACAAATTAACCCATTTTTTTAATTTTGCAATTTTTACTTCAAATGCTAGGAACACAATTGGAGCGAACGACGAATTTTTTCGCGGCGTATGTTCGTCGTCAAAAATAAAACACATATGTGTATATGGAAGTGCACACAATCACGGCACCGGCGAAAATTTCGTCGGTCGCCGCGAACTCAATTAGCTTTATTTCTATTTCATACGCCGGCGACCGGCGAACAAAACAGTACAAGGTGGCCATACTTGTACGAATTTTATGTGTTTTAGTAAATAAAGTTACTTTTTACTTTAAAATTTGTTATGGTCACTCTACTATCTGTTACTCGTATAAAAAAAACATAATTAATTTGTTTATTTTTTTGTGTACTTGCGCCTGAGTGAAGATGGATATCAGTGAATTTATAATAGAGAAGATGGACATAAGTGAAATTATAATAGAGAACGTAAAGAATTATGTGTTCTTGTATAATACATTGTAGTCAACAAATGAGCAAAAAGTAAACAACTTCATCAGCTGTTTTATAATTTCGTCGGTATTGTGTTCCATACGACGAATTTTCGCGGCTCATTTTGTCGCCGCGTAGGGCGAAATTCGTCGTTCGCTCCAATTGTGTTCCTAGCAAAACGCGTTGTTTTCGACAAAATAGCGGAACGTTTTTACTATTGCATTTTTTTAGTTTTTAGTTTTTTTCAGTAGGCAGGTTAAGATCGTAAATGGGCCATGTAGGTCCGTCTTCATATAGCTCCCATATAACGGTACCTCCCGATATTCGGTATTTTAAAGTTTTTAGCGACATTATTTACCGGAATTGTTTCAAATTTGGTATTTGAAGTTCGTCTTTATTTGTTTTAAGTTTAAGCAAGAATCTATGGTAGAATTAAGAAGGTAAAGTCATGCCATCATATGCTTTAAATTCCTTCCAAATTTTTCACCTGAGGACATATCATTGTCAACGTGTCTGTCTAGTTATTAATCAATTTGCTCTGTTCCAGAACTGCAGAATGTAAAACTTTTTACTACAATAACCGATTTTTCCTTTATGATAAAAAATGCAAAGCTAGGAGATTCTTGCAAGTACTAGAACAAAGTACTAGTGGGCTAATCTTCAACAGTATAAATTCGCTCTCATTCTTATTGCTAGGTAAAATATAATGCGGAACATTTATATAAATTGGACACTATTTTACAACAATAATTAAAACTACTATTATTTTCAGGTGTCACTAAATACTTTCCACAAACTACATTTTTCATTTAATGTTCCAGAAATTCGTTGGACGCTTCTTTATAGTAGGTTAAGCTTTGTATTGCTCTATTACATAGTTTTATAATAATTTTAAACGTAAATTACCATTGCATCAATAAAAATACCGTGCTGCACGAAGCGGGCCTAAATGTCATACTTTGGAGGAACTTAAAAAAAATCAAGAAACCTAGGGAAGAAAAATGCGGAAAATACATCGAGAAGGGTTTCCGTAATACAAAGGCGAATCTATAATGACATTTGTAAAATTAATATTATATATATATACTGATCTACACCCTTAATAATAAGCCAATAAGACAATTTTATGGTGGGTGGTACAAAAACACAAACAATCTTGGCTGCTTTTTATCTTTAAGCATTCTTGTTATGTTTTCCAGGTTTTGACACACAATTTCATTCAATGGTCTGCCCAATTTTGGCCTAGACCAAGCATATTTAAAATCCCAACAAAGTAAAGTAAAGCTGTAAGTTGTGTAACTTTAAATACCCTCCACCATTTGGAACGAATTTGGCAATTCTCAAATCATTAAACAATGAAATCCGTTAAAAATTTTGTTAAAATCTTAAAAATACCGAAAGTAGCTATTATATTACGGTCTATACGACGATATGAACCTGCGTACGTAACATTTGTCATAAGCCATTAAAATATTCAAATGCGAGACCTAAAAAAATCGGTTATAATGTCGATAAAATCAAAATACCGAATATCGGGAGGTACCATTACATAGGGGCTATACGAAGACGTGGACCTGCACAGACAGTTTTCTGTCGTAGGCTGTAGTATCCATTACGAACTTCAAATACCAAATTTGAAACAATTTTTGGTGGAAAAATATCCATAAAATCATTAAAATACCGAATATTGGGAGGTTCCGTTATATAGGGGCTATACCAAAAAGTAGGTACACGTTTTGGTATAGCCCCCATTTGCAATACCAAAAGTCCTGCAGACATAGCATACATTTCAGCAAAATTTTATCAGTCTACTTCAATTGGTTCAGAAGCTAGAGTGATTTCCACAGACGGACGGACATCGCTAAATCGACATAGAATTTTAGGCTGATCGAGAATATATATACTTTGTGGGGTCTAAAATGTGTATTTCGAGGTGTTACAAACGGAATGACAATCTTAATATGCCCTCCATACTATGGTGGAGGGTATAAAAAGAAGACAGTAGATGACTTAAGCCAGCCAGAAAAGCGTTTTATGCTAGGAACACAATTGGAGCGAACGACGAATTTCGCCCTACGCGGCGACAAAATGAGCCGCGTAAATTCGTCGTATGGAACACAATACCGACGAAATTATAAAACAGCTGATGAAGTTGTTTACTTTTTGCTCATTTGTTGACTACAATGAATCAGAGAATTGTAAAGTTTATTAAAATTGTTAAAATAATTAACATAATGTATATCATAGTAAAAGCTTATCTGCTTCTTCACTTAGGCGCAAGTTCACAAATAAATAAACAAATGAATTATGTTTTTGTTATACGAGTAACAGATAGTAGAGTGACCATGGCAAATTTTAAAGTAAAAAGTAACTTTATTTACCACAACACATAAAATTCGCACAAGTATGGCCACCTTGTACTGATTTGTTCGCCGGCGTTTGAAATAGAAATAAAGCGACCCATAGACCACACAAATTTTTGTGCAAATCGCTTATGTGTGTTAGTGAAATAAGGTTGTATGTGTCGCACGTACGAGTTTGTGCAAATCGATCTGAAAAATCAAAACCAAGGTAGATCAAACAGGTAACCGCATCGGCGAATTGCTACAACAAAGCAACTTTTGAGGTCCCCTCAAATGTCAAAATTGGCATCTAAGGCGAAAAACATAGATTCGCCATGACATTTAAAGTTTGCGGCAAATTTGTTTCAACCAATCAGAAACGAGGTGTTTGTTTACATTTTATTTTGTGTGCCTCTCGTCGTAAACGAACGTCGCAATAAAAGTTTTTATTGTAAAACAAATAAGAGTAAAATAAGTATTAATTGTAGTATTGCGATATTTTTTAAACCAAGAAATTTATAATGACTATATTTTACTGGTTTAAACCGAAAGTTTTCCGGAACTGCAAATGGCAAGAGTCGAATTCTTGCACTACTCCCCGTGATGTGCTTTGAGAATCTTAGATGTTGAGGCTAACTTAATTCTTAAATCTGCACTCCATTCTAATCTCCTTCCTTTATTTTCTTTTATTTTTTACTTGTTTCACTCTAAACTTGCTCTTAAATTATTTGAAATATAATAAAAATGTACTTTTAGGGAAGACAACATAAACAAATTTGTTGTTGCATTCATTTAGGGCGAATTCATCATTACAACAATTTGTTTTGACATTTAATGGTGCCGTCAGCTGGGATGATGCGATTACCTAGTACATCTACCTTGATTTTTCGGCTTGTTTGCGCAAATGTTTATGTGGTGTGTGGGCGTTTGCACTAAATCTGTTCAGTTCGTGATAAACAGTCAAGCATTACACAACAAAAAAAGAAAAAGAATAGAAGTTAATTTTTGACTTGCCGCCGTAGTTTTGTTTGCTTGATTTTTGTTTTTATTTTTTAAAAATGGAAAGAGAAGAAGAACAGAATTTCATTTTGGAATTTATTGAAGTTTACCGGTCTTTGCCTGCTCTGTGGGACATAAGGTCGAAGGAATATGCAAACCAAATGCCAAAGCGACGGCAATAGCTGCGTTCTCAAACATATTTCCGAATGACTTCACTCGCTGAGTACTTACTTCGAATGAAATTTGTTCAAACGTTTGCAACGTGTGTGTGCTAAATACGTGTGAATTTGCGCAAATAATTTGTATGGTCTATTTGCCGCTTAAAGCTAATTGAGTTCGTGGCGTCCGACGATATTTTCGCCGGCGTGAATGTGTGCATTTCTATGTACACATATGTTTTTTTATTTTTGACGACGAACATTCGCCGAGAAAAATTCGTCGTTCGCTCCAATTGTGTTCCTAGCATTATGTACACCCACCCATGGTAGAAGAATATAGGTAGACGCGTCGACACAGCTGCTGGGACTATGAACTGTCAAACCAATTTTGGAATTGAAAATGTTGAATGATAAATTATTTAAATTTGTAAAAATTGTTGAAAAACGCGAATTATAATAGCCTTCGAATGACGTAGTATAAGCGTTGGTGCATCTACCTGTATTCTTCTGCCATGCACCCACCTTAATCGTGTTTTCATGAAGTTTCACACTTCTCAAATATGGCGTCAATACATTATTATATAACATGAAATATAAATATTTGGCTTGTTCCAGAACTGCAAGAATGTAAAAGTTTTTACTACGATAACCAATTTTCCCTTTATGATATCGAAAAATATTTCAAAACTATTTGATTCTTTCAGGTTCTGGAACAAACCAGTTCCGTAAAGTTCTGTACATAATTAACATAAAACGATTTTTATACTGGCTTTTTCGAAAAAGAAGAAATGAGTGTAGGGCCTCTACGAAGTATCCAGACGATGTCAAAGACACCGGTCAAAAAGGTTTCTTATTAAATTAAAAGGAAAACTTTCTTACTTTATCGAAAGAATATACTAAGAACATTCTTTAATGACATATGTTAGTTCGTAGTATATGATAATAAAAAAAGATGAATACAATATCCTTGCTAATGTATTCTTTACAAAGTAAACATATTCAGCCTTTTTGATCAACTCTTTTCCATTTCTTGAATTTGACTTTGCAGCTTCTTTTTCTCCAGCAAAAGTTTTGAATTATTTTCAATTTCTTTCTCCAGTTGCAATGTAAGGTGCTTAACCTTAAGATCGGCAACCGTGTCAGCATTACATTTGCAAGCGGTAACTGTCTCACTAACTGGAGCAGGAGCCACAGTTTTTACTGAGTTTCCAACTTTTCGATCAAGAAATTCTTTGAGCACAGATATTTCTTTGGCTTTTAGCGCAAGCTCTTTAATGTGGTACTCATTTTGATTGGCAAGTCGAGAATTCTCTTGTTGTAAATCTCTTATTTTATTTTCGTGCTCTGATAGTTTTTGTTGCATTTGTTGTGCCAGTTCGCTTTCATCGGCTCTTCTCTTATCTGTCGAATGCAAAGATGCATTAAGAGTTAGAATTTCATTTTCTTTCTTTTTTATCTCTTGGGATTTTAGATCAAGTTCTGTAATATAACGGAGAATTTCCTCTTGTAGTGTCTTCACTCGATCCTCTGAGGCAGAATACAAAGAATGCATTTGGAGGAAATATTCATCTGTGATGGCTACTTGATCAATTTCCCTTTGCAGTTTTTTTCTCAGTTCCTGTTCCACAGAATACTGTTCCTGCATTTGTAAAAAGTTGATTTCATTCTCCTTCAATTGTTCTTCCAGCTCGAATATTTTATCAAAGCTTGACTCCAGCTTTACCTGTAGTTCCTCCCCAAAGTCTATAGATGGAGCCGAGGGTGAAACCTCTGGCTCATCGTTTAAAATTAAAAATATTTTATGGGAAGAAGGATTCTCTTCACGGCACTGGGGACAATTTGGGGCTCTGTAAAAAGAAAAAAATTAATGTGCAAGTTACTCGGAGAATGTGTTATTTGGATAAATTTCAATATTTACCGACTCTGCCACTCCTGCATGCACGACAAATGGTATAAATGTCCGCAGCTGGTGCTATGAATTTCGTCTGATTCGCAAAAATTATCGGTGCATATGGGACAAATTAACTTAAGGCCAGACATCTTTGTTTTGTGCTTATCAAACCGTTGTTCTTTTCTTTCTACGCTTTGCGAATGAATGAAACACCGGCTGGCTCATGATTAAGGCAGAATATTCATATATATCTACATAAAATATGGGTAAGTTACCGAATAACACTCAACCGCAAAGAGAAAGAAAATATTTTTATTTAGTAGACACCAATAAATTTGCGCACTACATTTATACAGTTAGCTTAGAAAGTGTTTTCGACGAGAAGCACGTTAGGTATAATCCCGTCGTTATTAGGTTTGTCTGGTAATTTGTATGCAGGAATTGTCCAGCAATTTTGAGAGAGTATGGTAGCACTATTCTCATTTGCAAAAAAATGAAGCACTCAAGAACAAAGCAATTTGGCTTACAATTTGCAAAAAATAAAACATTTGCTTGCCCAAAAAAAAATTGCCGGAAGGAGAAGAGTTGCAATTGATTGCAAGAAGAAATTTGTGCGGCAAGACTTTGTAAACACTCAGTAAAAGAACTGTCCGTTAATCCATGTCTGTTTGGCTCTATTGAAATTGTCTTTGTCGGATTTTTCCAATATCGAGTTCTTATATGGTTACTTTTTTCATCGCACGTATTTATTATCTTCAAAAGCTGTACACATGAATTTAAATTACATCAGAGCAGAGAAATTGAAAATTTATAAATTAAAAAAAAACAAGCAAGCAAAGGCTATAGCCGTGCGGGGCCGACCACGTGATACCCTACAATACTACAATATGTTGGAAGCCCCCTTATGTCCAAATCCTTTTTGGAAGATTTTGCTTTTGAAATTACAGAGCACTGCCCAGATATTACCCTTAGAATTTTGACCAGAGATATTTGCCCAATATTTACGCACTGAAGTTCGCCTCTTGTTTATTGCGGACATCTTTGAAAACAATAGGCTTAGTCCTTCTGAGCCTAACCCTACCCTACCCTCCGTGAGGATCGGACGATTATTGCAATCTGTATAAAATAACCCCAACCTGTGTTGTAAGGTGAAAAAATATTACAAAATGTACATTTCCATATTTTAAGTCTAATTGAAAAAATCGCATGCGATAAAAATTATGGAAAAATAAAAAATGTCGCAAAATCTATATCAATATCATTGTTGACATCTTTTTATGCGATTTTTTTTTAGATTTTATACTTTTATGCCAAGAGGGCCTTCTGAATTGACAACATTTGTCAAAATCGGTCCAGCCATTCTTGAGATATAAGCATTCTAGCTAACATCTCCTTTCTTTGTATATATACATTGTATATATTTCGCTATATATACCCGATATATTTACTATCAGCATCTACCTAACGGTCAGAATTGACCATTCGTCTACTTTTGATTTCCACGGAATTAAAAATATTCGTTTGTTTGTTAATTTCGCGTTTTATGAGCTTCATGGATATTCAAAATATTGAGCCTGCTGGAGTTGAACGATGTATCTCATCTTCACAGCAGATATTGTTTTAGTAAAAATAGTGGTATGTGTGAATCGTTTTGTTTATTCAAAATTTTCTCCCTTTGTGGGGTAGGTACTAGAAGGAATGGTCCGATCTTTACCACCTCTATAACATATCCTGTATTGACAGAAATATTGGGATGTGTCAATCCTAATGGAATCGGATGGTAATTTCGCGTTTTATGACCTACATGGATGTTCAATCCACCATGTTCCATCTTCACATTACACCCTGAATTTATAAAAATATTGCGATGGGTGTAATTTGAAGACAATCGTATTTTACAAGAGTTAAAATTATTCAATGTTTTGGTCCTTTGAGGGGAAGGTACTTGATGGAGTGGACCGATATTGTCAATTTTTGGATCTAACCTATCTCTGATGCAAATATTGGGATTTACAAAGTTGGAGCAATATCGGATCATCCTTTCACTTTCTGTGCAGTATTTTTTTTAATCGACTTTTTGTGGGGGGTTATCAGAAGGAGTGAAACGATATTGCCCATCTCCGAACTCGATCCAAGTTTGATGATAATATTACGGTGTTCCAAGTTTGGACCAAATCGGAGAACTTACACCGCAACAGAAAGAAAATAGACTCAAAAGAGCTGAAGTGTCGCTTCGCTTGGCCGAAAGCGGTTAACTGCCGAATTTGGTTTTCTCCGATGAGAAAACATTCGTTGTCCAGCAGTTTGTAAACAAACAAAATGTTCGCGTTTACTTGCCAAAGAGATCAGCTGAAAATGTTCACCTTCGGTTGGCCACCAGAACTCAAGCGTCGGCCATGGTGTGAGTCGCCATAACAGCCCATGGTCGCTCTCCGCTCGTATTAATCGACCGAGGCATCAGAATAAATGCCGAATATTATCGCGGAAATATTCTGGAGGGTGTATCAAAGCCTTGGGCAGGCAAACATTTTGACTCGGCACCATCGCACTCAGCACACGCCACCTAAGAATGTTTACAAAATAAGGTTTCTCGCTTCATTTCCAGAGCACAATGGTCACCAAAACCTCCGAATTCCAATTCGTTGAACTATTGTGTCTGGAGTATTTTGGAAAGCAAGGTTGGCACTAAAAAATACCAAAGTGTCGATCACCTCAAGCAAGCGTTTCGCCGGGAATATGCCAAAATATCGGAGAGCAACATTCGGGCAGCGTGTAACGGTTTCATTGGCCGTTTGAAGGCCATAATTCGTGCTAAAGGTGATCAATTCGAACAAACTTTAACTTATTCGAAAATTTGATGCTATTTCCGACATTTTATGCTTTCATACAATAAAATTAAAAAAAAGTAAAAATTATGGCGTTTAACTTTGTTGCAGTTTTTTATCTCACTCTGTAATGGTACCTTTCGACATTCGGTATTTCAATGGTTTTAACTACATTTTTCTCCAGCTAATGGTTTAGGGTATTTAAAGTTTGCCCCAGCCGAACACTTAATGTTTTTACTTGTTGTATGTGCTTCCTTTTTTTGTATAAAAGTTTCACAAGGTTCTCCTGTACGCGAACAGTTAAAAAAAAATGTCAAACTCGCACAATATAGAACTATAACGCAGGTTCTGGAACACAACTGAGGCTGCCATAAGAAAACATTTGATTTGATTTTATGGCCTACCTATGATTTATTTCACATAAATGTAGGGTATCAATAGATCCATCCTTTCCCTTTGTAATTTTATAAAAATGTTAGTTTTGAAGTGGAGAAAAAATGGAATATTTCACCAAAGTGTAAGGCATTCGGAGATAGCCACCGTCTCTTATCAATTTCCCTTGGTTTTTGTTGGGATATTTCCCTCCATGTAGTTCAAATTTCCAAAACTTCCACTACTCACAAAGTGCAGCTGGACCCAATGTCACGTTTCTAGGTTCAACCGTTTCATTGTTGAGTCATTAAATCAGCCTTCACATTTTTTTTGCGCAATATAGCAACGAATTCATTGATACTTTACGATTTCATTGGAAAACACAATGAAGAATGAAGTCTCAATTGATTAGCCGATTTGATATCGTCTTCGATATCGTATTTGATGTTTTATTTTTTATTTCATGAACGTATTTATTTAAATCATTAGAGTGCACTGTAAGTTTCAGAATGCCCTCTTGGCGTAAAAGAATAAAATCTAAAAAATCGTATAAAAAGATGCGAATAATGATGTTAATGTAGATTTTTTAGTATTTTGTGACATTTTTTTATTTTCTTCATAAATTTATCGCATGAGATATTTTCATTTTGACTTACAATATTGAATTTTACAGTTTGTAATATTTTTTCACCTAACAACGCAGGTTGGGGTTATTATATACAGATTGGAATTATCGTCTGATCCTCACGAAAATTATCACAATGGTAGGGTTAGGCTCAGAAGGGCTAGGCCTATTGTTTTCAAAGATGTCCGCAATATATTTAGGGACCAAATGAAATGGACCAACAACTAAAAATGTTCCTGATTTTGCAGCTGTTATAAAGGTCACAAATAGAAACCAAAGGACACGAAAGTTCGCATGAAGCTAGAGTTTAGGACAGCGGGTAGAATGGACCACTACTTTTGTGTGAAAAAATACTAATATTACGTACAGGCGATATCCGAAATACACAAAAGGCGAACTTCAGTTTTTCGTTGCTGATTTGGTTGACGAATACAGCCCAATATCGTAGACAAGCAAATCATATAAATGAGTCTAAATTTGGAGATATAGAGGGGCCTCTTGCTTTTGGAGATGATTGCAAAATATTTAGGGGTTCAAATGAACCAAAAAAAGAAAAAACTTTCTGATCACACAATTGAAGAGATTTAAGTACATCGAAGAAGTCTAGCATTTTGGAAGACCATTGGATTATATTTAGCTGTAAAATGGACCACAAGAACTAACGGCACGTCGAAGTGCGTAAATATTGGGCAAATGTTCCTGTTCAAAATGCTAAGGGTAATATCTGGGCAGTGCTCCGTGACAAAAGCGAAATCTTACAAAATGGATTTGGACATAAGGGGGCTTCGGATACATTGTAGTGTTGTAGGGTATCACATGGTCGGCCCCGCACGTCTATAGCCTTTGCTTACTTGTTTTAATATAATTCATTTAAAATGAAATGAGAATCAAATTTTATTTAAACGTGGCATATCTTAATATTCATATTATTCTCAGAACAGGTCAAAAATAAATTTCTAATTTGTTCACTTTTATACCCTACACCACATAGTTGTAAGGGTATGCACTAATATTTTATGTTTTTAAGTGCATTTGTTTGTAACATGAAGCGAGATAGACCCATAGTTACTTTTGAGGATCTTCATAAAATCACTTTCTGACTCGATTTATGCATGTCAGTCCAATGGCCAATATCTGTTCAAATGAACTGAAGCAGGTGCATCAAATTTAGAGAAAATCGGTTCAGATATAGCTATAGCTCCCATATATATGTTTCTTTCGATTTGGGGTTTAAAGTCCCTCACACTCGTAACATGCACTCCACAAGAATGATATTTAGTACCATACAACTTATGGAGCTCAAAAATGCCTCTGTCAAATTTAATCGGATCATATTAGGATATAGCTCCCATATATATAATTATCCGATATCAGGTTTATTGTACACAAAATGGCTAATATTAGGCCAAATGGATTGAATTTTACCC